CGGTATAAGCTGGTGATACTTCCGCCCATACCCGCTCCACATAGCTCCAATTCCTCCCACCCACTTCTGTGTCTCCTCTTCTCAGTGTCATGAGACCCCTGCACCCCTTGTCATCTGCTGATGTACTTTTTTCCACAGTGGACGTGACGCTGAATCCACACACAGCTAATTTAAACCTTGTCCTGTCTAAAAACCGGAGACAGGTGAGATTTGTGGGCGCCACCCTGTCTGGGCCTCATCTGGAAGAGCACTATGACTGTGGCGTCCTGGGCTCGCAGTATTTCTCCTCTGGAAAACATTACTGGGAAGTGGATGTGGTCAAGAAGACTGACTGGATCCTGGGCGTGTGCAGTGATGCCGTGGGATCTCCATTCTCTGTCAACCAGTTTTTGAACAATCGCAATGTTTACTCCAGATATCAACCTCAAAATGGCTACTGGGTGATTGGGTTGCACCATAAACATGAATATAGGGCCTATGAGGACTCTTCCAGTTCCCTGCTCCTCTCCATGACGGTGCCCCCTCGCAGGGTCGGGGTTTTCATAGACTATGAGGCCGGCACTGTCTCCTTTTTTAATGTCACAAACCACGGCTTTCCCATCTACACCTTCACTAAATATTACTTTCCTACCACTCTTTGCCCATATTTTAATCCTTGCAACTGTGTAGTCCCAATGACCCTGCGTCGCCCAAGCTCTTAAACATTCTGCTGCCCTCACCCACACCTGAGCAGTAACCTTTGAGGCTCATCCACACCTCAGTCTCCCTTCTGACCTTCTGTTTTCTGCAGTCTCCTTCCTTTTTCCTTTTTCTTTGAACATTTACTCAGGGCTAGAATGCACTGGTGGTGACAATGAACATCCTTCATTAAGTAATTACAGCTCTAGAGATAGGTGAGAGGTAATTGTCAGCCTTTTACTATTAATCATGATAATTTTTTTGTCAATGCATAGGCTCAAATTTGGGACGTTCTCTTAATTTGCTATAAGTTTTGTTCTGAATGGAAAATTGAATTTCAACAGATATTGTCACTAATGATTGAGATAATCGTGTCATTTTAATTCTGTTATTGGAGTACATTGATTTGTTTCAATGTTTAAATCTAATACAAATTCCTGAAATAAGACACTATCATTTTTCATGTGCAATACTGAATTTGTTTTGCTCATACATGTCTTAGATTTTATTTTTATCTCTATTTATGAAAGAAATTGACCTGTAACTTTACATTCTTATAATATCACAGGTTTTATAAAATGCAACAAATGAGCAAAGAAATTGATGTATTTTGTGTAAATACATAAGCATGCTAAAGTCTATTATGTCAATTTTGGAGGCTTTAAAATTAAAGAAAGAAATTCTGACCAGTTTTTACTACAACCTCCATGGACCTTAAAATGTTAGGAGTAGTGATTGAAAAATTAAAACAAAATCTGTCAAATGCATTGAAGTACAAAAAGGGAAGAGGAAAATGATCCATCAGATATAGATAATTTTAGGAAGAGAATGATTTCTTTCCGTTTTCCCACATCCCCTTTCCTTTATGCTCAAAATGAACAGCCAGTGAGTGAGCAGCTATGACTCTGGTAGAGAGGTGCTATATTCTTTTGAAGCCAACTGTAAAAGCAATTATGAAGTGGAGTGAGGGTGGGAACGAATATCAAGGAGTTGACTAGAGCTGGTGTCCAGTCAGTAGCCAAGGGCCACTGGCAATTCAAATGTGACTAGTGTGACTTGAGACATGCTATATGTGTAAAATGTGCACCATTGGTCCAAAATAATATAAAAGATTGTATTAATTATTTTTATATTGTAGAGTACGATCATAATATTTTGGATATATTGGATTAAATAAAATATATATTTACTTCACTTGTTTTACTTTACTTGTTTGGTGTAGATACTAGAAATTTTTAAGTTATATATGTGGCTCACATTACAGGTTGATTGGACAGCTTATCCTGTAGTGCAATTTCTCCCCATAAGGGGGCTCTAGTATAAGGAAGATGTTACTAGTATATCTACATGGATCCTCTACCTCTCTGGGGCATTTGTGTAGAAGGTACTGGCAGAGAGAAGAGGATCTGAATATATCTAGAAATTTATAATTTGGAAGATCATAGAAAGGGATCATGGCCAGAGGATAGAATCTATCTAGATTGTGCATAGTCTGGTCCCTGCCTTTAGCCCTCAGGCTGTTGGACATTTGCAATTCCATCGTGGTTTGAGGAATTATTAGTTCATCCTCCTGGCTCAGCTCTAGTTAGTTAGTGTCTGTATGAGATGAAGTATAAGTCACAGTAAAATCCCAGTACTGAGTAACTAGGGCAGGGGTGGGCAAACTTTTTGACTCGAGGGCCACAATGGGTTCTTAAACTGGACCGGAGGGCTGGAACAAAAGCATGGATGGAGTGTTTGTGTGAACTAATATAAATTCAAAGTAAACATCATTACATAAAAGGGTACGGGCTTTTTTTTTTTTTTTTTTTAGTTTTATTCATTTCAAATGGGCCGGATCCAGCCCGCAGGCCGTAGTTTGCCCACGGCTGAACTAGGGTAAGGTTTCATTTGGGAGGTTAAATTTGTGGGAGACCAGAGGCCAAATGCACACTCTCATTCTTATCTGGACTTTAATCGGAAGAAATATGAAAGGAGACAGGCAAACCAGTACCCCTGTGGCTGATGGAAGTTGGGGAATAAGAGATGATGATAAAAGAGTCTCTAATTGTGCCCTTTTCATTTATTTTCCATGTAGTAAGTTCCAGGTGAAAGAAGTTAGCCCAGCTGTCCTTTCCCTATGGAGGTACCTAGTGAATGACCTTAGTTAATAGGAAAATCAAAGTTCTTGCTTGGATGCTGTAGGTGAGATGTGGGGAGAAATTAGAATGAGTTTGCAGCCCTGGCTTTCTCGGGCAGGGCGGGGCAGGGGGAGGGTGTCTGGACAGGGGCCTCCTAGCCTTGACATTTTTGGCGTGATGCAGTAGGCTAAACTGTTATGGAAACTAAATCCAAAAATAAAATGGATCAAATAAATTTATATATTGTTTATGTAAAAAACATGAATGTAACTAGGGGGTGAGTGGCACTATGACACATGAGATGCATGGGGCAAGCTCCATCTCTGGCTCTGCCATCACCGAAGACAGTATTGCCATCAACATCAAGACAGCAGAAGGGCAAAGAAAACTGGGAGCAGTTTGCTTCTTAAATCCTTAGTTCTTATGTGGAATTCATAAATTCTGCTCATAACTTTCTGTTCTTGAGAATAACTATGTAGCCCCACTGAACTACAAAAAAAGATTGTAAGATGTCTAGCCACATGCAAGCATGTACAAGCAAATTTCCAGGGAAGGAAAATGCAGATTTTGGTGGATGCCAAGTGGCCTCATGACCTGGAACCTTAAGCAGCTCCTCTTCATCATTCCAGAAGATCCAAGATCTCAGATTTTTTATGGGCTCTTTATTCCATCCTGTAGCCTAAAGTTCATAAGGAAAAGACTGAGGGCAATGCTGTTGCCGGAGTCTTAGGCAAGTGGTATACTTAATCCTAACATTTTTCAACAAGCCTGTTCTTGCTAGAGCTGGCATTTACATTCTATTCTACTTTTGAAAACATTTTGGAGTGAATGGCTTTTTAAACATTTTTATTGTGATATAATTGACATGTAAATTGCACGTATTTAAAGTCTATAATTTGATGTTTTGACTTGTGAAACATCACCATCAGGACAATCAAGATATCCACCTTCTTCAAATGCTTCCTCCTGCCCCTTTGTAATCTCTTCTGTCTCTGCCCACCTCACTCCCATCCCCTAGCAACCTCTGGCTGCTTTCTCTCAGTGTGCATTCTGCAGTGGTTCTCAACCTGTGACGCGAACAATGAAAATACATCCTGCATATCACATATTTACATTAAGATTCATAACAGTAGCAAAATTACAGTTATGAAGTAGCAACAAAAATAATTTTATGGTTGGGGTCACCACAACATGAGGAACTGTATTAAAGGGTCGCCGCATTAGGAAGGTTGAGAACCACTTTAGGGTCTAAAGGTTTATATAAATGGAATCATTCAGTTTTATTGTCTTGTTTCTGTCGTGCTCCAGATTGCTGCTTGTATTCTCAAGAGTCTATTCCAGTATTATTGCCGTGTAGTATTCTATTGTATCAATGGGTCATTATATCAATACAATTATATTGTATGTAAACACTTACCCATTTGCCTGTTGATGGGTGGTTTCCAGCTTTTGGCTACTACAAATATCGCTGTTGTGAACATTTCTTGTAAAACTCAAACAGTAAACACATGCTCTCATTTCTTGTCTAAGTGCCTAGCAACAAAATAGCTGGGCTGTGTGGTAGGTATATGGGTAAGGTTTTTGAAGCTGCCAAACTATTTTCTAAAATGATAGTACCATTTTACCTCTGACTTCAGTTGCTCTACATCCTTGCCATGGCTTGGTTCAGCTTTGGGAGAGTGTTGGGCTATGGGGAATAATGGGAATAAACCAGAGGGATCTAGGAAAGTGAAGCAGAAATTTTATTTCTTTAATATGACCTTTTCTCCTTTCCTTTTGGTTTAAACCGGCCCCATTTAGCACCCTTACTCACCATCTCCCTTGCATGTCCATTCCCTTAGTTATTAAGTCTTCAGGACAATGAAGTTCTTGTCAGCATCAAAAAATCTTTGGGCCATAACCAGTTTGGTTCAGTGGATAGAGTGTCGGCCTGTGGACTCAAGGTTCCCAGGTTTGATTCCTGTCAAGGGCGTGTACCTTGGTTGCGGGCACATCCCCAGTGGGAGGTGTGCAGGAGGCAGCCGATTGATGTTTCTCTCTCATCGATGTTTCTAGCTCTCTATCCCTCTCTGTAAAAATCAATAAAATATTTTTTTTAAAAAATCTTTGGAACTGCCGAAACCGGTTTGGCTCAGTTGATAGAGCGTCGGCTTGCGGACTGAAGGGTCCCGGGTTCGATTCCGGTCAAGGGCATGTACCTGGGTTGCAGGCACATCCCCAGTAGGAGATGTGCAGGAGGCAGCTGATCGATGCTTCTCTCTCATCGATGTTTCTAACTTTCTATATCTCTCACTTCCTCTCTGTAAAAAATCAATAAAATATATTTTAAAAAAAAAATCTTTGGAACAAAGTCTCAAATCTATTGACCACAGAGTTTCAGTCAAACTAGACTTTAGTTGTGTTTCAGTTCCAGACCCAGCAAAGAGGAACCACCCCACCGACCACACCATGACACCAGACAGAATGACGGACGCTATGGCTGACATTAAGACCTGATACAGTGCTCAACTTCTCCCCATCTTGGCCCTGACCAGCCAGCAGAACCCACAACCCCAACTCCCTCAGTTGCCATAATTAATGATTTTCCACCTATATAACCCATCACCTGGCAGTCAGGGAGCCAGTAATAGCTCACCTGGGACTCTGGGTTTGGTGTCATTTCCTTCAAAATAAACCTTTACTTTCTTTGCTGCAAACTCCTGTTTGTGATTGATTGGGTTTTGATGTCTACAAGGGAATAAACGCCTTTACTTGGTAACAAAAGCTGCCACTTTATGCCTGTAGTGGTGGTTATAATCCTCCAGATAATTTCAGTTCTCCCTCTGCCCGTAAAAACGAGTCTCCATGGTGTGACCTTGCCACTTCTTGTGGTATCTCTTGTTTACCTGGAGCTGCAAGTACAATCTCATGGAACCAGTTGCAGATTACAACAAATTGCTTATCCTTCATTCTAGCCATTTCTGCCTCCCAGAATATAACTCAGCCGCAAGTAATCCACCAGAGGAACTCCTGATATCCTAAGGTGACTATCCAAAAGTGACCATCATTTTCTATTTTGAACGGTGTGAATATTTGGTAGAAGGTTGGCCTGGATACGTCTTTGTTGTGGGAGCTGCCCTGTGCATTATAGAATGGTTAGCTGTATCCCTGACTTCTACTCACTAGATGGCAGTAGCCTTCCCCGTAGTCATGACAACCGAAACTTTGCCAAAAGTCCCCAGGGGCAAATCTTCCCTCCCCACCCCACCCTTCTACAAACACGGGGTTAAAGCATTATTTACTCTCTGCGGTCGCCCTGAAGGACTGCCACCATTTGGCCCAGAAGCTCCGTCCCCTTTCCTTTTCCTGCCAGCCCCGAGAATTTCACTTTCACTTCTCAGCCAGTTCCTCAGGAGGAACTACTTCATGCAGACTCAGCCCCCGGTTGGAAAATGAACCCTGACCAGAACTGCCCCGTCTTTTCCTCACCACTTACACCAGGAGCCAAGACATCTCCGCTGGGACCTGAAGGTGTGTGGGGAGGTTTATGGCAGGCCCAGCGTGGGAGACTTGCAGAGAAAGGTACTAGGTGAAGTTAGGTGAGGTATTTTGTGGCACAGATGTGCTCTGAAGGGAAGAAAAGCCAGCTGCAGGGTTCCTACTCTGAGTGCAGACACAGGGCAGCGTCTGGAGAGGGACAGCTTGAGAGAAAGGAGTATTGAAGAGGCAGAAGGCCTTGTTTGCTTCCTGGAGGGACCCTTATTTTTCCAGGCTGAGTTCATCCCCATCTTCTTCCTGTTCTATAGTTTTGATTACCTATCTTGCTGAAGGGAACTGTAATCTCTCTCTCCTCTCTCTCTCTCTCTCTCTCTCTCTCTCTCTCTCCCTCTCACTCTCAACAGAAACTCTCTTCTACTCCACTCCGTGTGTAAAAGAGGTCCCTGTTTTACAAATGTGCAAAAGCCCAAGCTCCTAGTATGGGGCATCAGATAGAATGGAGTCTTGGGGACATGGCCAGGGGTAATATTGAACCTGATTCTTTCAGGCCCCTCCTGCAACACCGAGGGGCTGTCTGTGGCCTACCTGACACATCTTCAGCTGCTGGCCAGTGTGAAGACAGCAGGCTAATGATTGGTCTGCTGCCTGCCTCTGAGGCTGCCTTTTCTCCTGTGTCCTCCTGAGCTTCAGTCTCAGGGCTCTGCTTGCACTTCCCTGAATGGGCCTGCTTGCTCTTACTTCAGTAGTTCATTGACCCTGACTGGTGTCCTCACCTGCCTTAGAGCTCAGACACACCTTTGCGTTGATTGTTACCTCTGCTGCTTACTGTTTTTCTTTGTTCAGAGCTTATTAATAGGGGTTGACTATTGCCCAGAAGACCAAAGTTTCCATGGTCTTGCTAAGAAGTTCAAGGGGGGAGAAGGGAAATAGAAGACATCTGCAATGCTATCAAATATATATATTTTAAAAATAAAATAAAAAGTTTGCTCCGACACCGATTATGTGTCATCCTAAGGTCATTAGGGAATAATTTGCACACCATTTACATGTCACATATTTTCTGACACATGCGCATTCTATCCTATACTCTCACTTTTCAGAAGTAACTGTTACTGCCTTTCTGGGAATCTATGCTTACCCTGGAGAGGGTCCATTTCTGCCCAGATATTGTCTCCCAGGGTCAAGAACAAGGCCTAACACATGAGATAAAATAGATGTACTTATTTATTTTTTAAATTTAATTCATATGAATGAAAGAAGGCTGCTGCTGTGAAAAAGTGCAATGAATATCCATTCAACTTGCAAAATATGTTAAATACATATAAGAGCTTACATTCTAGTTGGGGAGAGATCATAACAAATTATAAATATTTGATACGATATACAAGAAAGTAACTAGGCCTGGCTGGCGTGGCTCAGTTGGTTGGAGCGTTGTGCTGTACAACAAAAGATCGGGGGGTCTATTTCCAGTCAGGATACATACCTGAGTTGCAGGTTTGACGCCCACTTGGGGTGCATACAGGAAGCAACTGACCTCTCTCTCTCTCTCTTTCTCTCTCTCCCTCTCTCTCTCCTTCTTTCTCTCAATCAATAAACAAATCCTCAGGTGAGGATTTAAATAAAAAAAAGAAGGCGTGATGTCAAAGCAGCTACTAGATCCCACTAGATATCTAGTGATGCCACTAGAATGACGGGAATTATCTAGGATATTGTCTGAAAACTTCAAAGGAAACCCTTTCTGCACTTCACTTCCAGGAGACACTTTCATTTTATTATCTAACCTGCAGAGAGGCATAGATTTTGCCTTATTATAAGTCCAGGTGTGAAGAGAATACTCAATTGTGGGATACATATGTCTGACACTTAGGGTAACCAGCTGACCTGACAGTTCCATCAGGCAGATGCAACTTGTGTTCCTTTCTCTAACTCCCTGACTGTTGCTCAGCTCTTGGGTCACTCTTAAACATTGGTGGAGTCACTGCCCGCCCATGTGTGGGGCTCTGCCTTCTCTGTACCTTTCTCTTTCTGTGATCATTATGATGGCAGGTGTTTTGACATCAACGCCTTGTGGTCCCACTCTGATGTGAGGTCCACAACCCTGTGGGAGAAAGCATGCTCTGTTCCTTTCTCCTCTGTAGGTTTTTGGTGTTTCTCAGCATCGGTTGGATAGTGAACAGAATAAAAGATAACAGAGAAGTGCACACCTGTGGTTGGCTCAGATCTTCCATTGTAAGCACGGGCAGAATTATCATTTTATGTAAACCCCTGTTTTTGTTAGTCACCAGAACCTGATCTAATCAATAGCCACCACAGAAAGGGGCTAATAGTATATGGACTTTAGACAATTTTTAGTATCTGTACCATTGGCTGGATTGCTCCTATCAACCCCCGTTCATGGAAGTCTTATTCCTCATCAGGTTCACTTCATGAATCATTAGAGATGTGGGCAGATTGCTAGGCCTACAGGTATCTCTATACAGCTTTCATTATATCCCCATCCTTTCTTTTTAGAGCAAGAAGGGGAAGATTTATAGTTTGTTACATACCTCAGATCTTTCACCATCAAATCCTTTCAACTATATTAATAACCTAATGCTGCTGTAACAAATTACCACAAATTAGATGGGTTAAAACAACAGGGATTTATTCTTTCACAGTTCAGGACGACAGACGTCCAAAGTCAAAGTAGTGGTAGAGTTGATTTCTCTAGGAACCTCTGAGGAGATTCTGTCCCCTGTCTCTCTCTTAGTTTCTGGTGGTTTCCAGCCATCTCAACAGTCCCTGCCTTGATTCTGTATTATTCCAACTTCCGCCACCATTGTTACATGGCCTTCTTTCTTATGTGTCTGTGACCCTTTCTTCTTTTTATATTAACTCTGGTCATTGGATTTAGAGCCTACCCTCTTCCAGGATGACCTCATCTTAACTTGATTACATCTGCAAAAAACTCAATGCAAAATAAGGCTACATTCACACAGGCAGGGACACAATTTCAGTCCATTAGAAGACATATCAAGACATTCATAGCCACTGAGGTCTTCCCCACTCACCTTACATATTTAATCCATATTTAGTCCAGGCTGTAAGAATCAGTGTCACCATACTACTGCTCTGTGGCATGTCTTCTGATTGACCACCAGCTATACTTTCAGGTTTGGTTTGCTATTCCTACTCATGTGACAACAGGACATAACCAGCCAGGTCTACTTAGCTTAGCAAAGGCCTATAAGATAGGAGGCACAGCACGTTGGCATGACTGCCTCCAGTGAGCTCTAATAAGGGTTTGTACAGAGATCTAGCAAGTACTTTATACCCGCCATGACAGGTCTTTTGTAAACAGGAGGCTGTCACTTTTATATCATTTAGGAAGTGTCACATTTCTAGACCATTTAAGGCTCCTGTATTACAAAAGGCCTAGGAGCTCTCTGTGCACCAGCCACAGTGGTCTAAAATTAGTAGAAGATGCTGTGTCCTCCATCAATAGGATATTCTTCTCCCTAAAATATTTTTCCTCTTTACCATTCCATATTCCCTTCGCATCTTTTATCTTTCAGCCTAATCCTTACTTATTCAGAGGTGATTTTTTGATGATCTCCTATTTAATTTCCCCAAAACGTGTAATTATGTGTGGTAGTGTTTATCATACCTACCAGACCTTGAAAGGGGACCCTGTGGACATTATATTCACTCCAATTCACTTACTAAATTGAATAATCTCTGTAAGTCAATTAATTCCATGTACAGGTCAGAAAAAAAGTGAGTATTCTTATTTTTTAAGGATTTTTAATGAAGAATAAATAGGTCAAAGTGATGTGTAATTGTAACTGGTTAATAATTGTTAGTAATAAGATTACTTCCCTACAGTGGTCCTTGCTGTTTCTATCAGTGTCACCGGGGAGTAAATAAGAGAGGGCTTTGTGTGGGATGGACTGGAAACCATTTCTGTGGTCCCAAAGCTCACCTATCGGTGAACTGCTAATTAAAGGAAAGAAAAGATAAAACACTGATTTTTTTAAAAAAAGTTTAATCGCCTATAGAGAAATGAGGTTCTTTATATATTTATCTAGCATTGTGTTTTCAGACAAAGTCCCTGGTCCTTGTGTGGATTACACTTTAGGAGTAGGATATTTAAAGAAGGATATCATATATTATATAGTGGTAATAAGAAAAAGATGTCAAATAATACACCAAATGATGTTTTGGTGATTGTGCTGTAGAAAAGTTAGTCATATTAGACATGCAAGAAGGGAGTTCAGTGAGGTATGAGGAAGTCAGGCAAATGTCAAGGGAGGATCATTTCAGGCTGAAAGAAAAGCAAAAGCTCTGAGGCCTTAGTGGCTTACCCAAGTCACTGAATTCACTTTTCCCCTCTCTTTTTTTTATGTCTTTCAGTTTTTCAGCCTTGGCCAATCTTTAAAGTGTGCACAGTTAGCATCCCTTTTACTTGTGCCATTCTTATACCATATCCTTTCGATCTGCCCATCCATCTAGGAATCTTTAAACAAGAAGACCCTCAGGAAGAAACCAGGGGAGCAGCTGCCATGGCTTTAAAATTCCTGGTGAACATGAAGGAGAAGGTGACTTGTGCCATCTGCCTGAAACTTTTGACAGAACCCCTGAGTCTAAACTGTGGCCACAGCTTCTGTCAAGCCTGCATCACTGACAACAAGGCGTCAGAGATCGGCCCAGGAGGGGAAAGCAGCTGTCCTGTGTGTGGTGTCAGATACTCACTTGGAAACCTATGGCTTAATCAGCATCTAGCCAACATAGTAGAGAGGGTCAAAGAGGTCAAGTTAAGCCCAGAGGAAGGGCAGAAGAAAGATCTCTGTTTGAGCCATGGAGAGAGACTCCGACTCTTTTGTAAAGAGGATAGGAAGGCTATTTGTCAGCTCTGTGAGTGGTCCCGGGAGCACTGTGGTCATCAGATATTCCTCATGGAGGAGGTAGTCAAGGAATGCCAGGTAAGGCCCAGGATGGAAGGAGATGAGGTGAAAGATAGTACGTGCTGGGAAATCTCACCTTTCCATCCTTCTTTACTCACCACACATCTTAGTACTGACTCCTGTACTTTCCTTCCATGTGTCTCTTACCATATGCTTGGCTTCCCAAGCCTGAGGGACACCACTGTGTATTTCTTCCATTTGCATCAGGATGAGCCTAAGTACAGACTTTGGCCAAGAGTGAAAGGTTTTCCTCTTTTCTCCTTCGTCATGTGGATGGAGAGTTTCTTTCACAAGTTTAGCTCTCATTGCTCCTCCCAGCAGGATGGTTGCTGTTGAACATTGGGGAGGGGATGTAGGAAGAGTTTCAATAAGAGGATAGGACTTTCCTTGGCCATAACAGAATCAATGTTTACTCTGTAAAGAAAGAAAATCAGGCTACTCTTGGTGAGGAGGTAGTGACTTTCATCCCCCAGGAATAAAGAAAACATTCACCTCCTCAGATTCTCTCCCAGGTCATAGATTACAATCACCAGATTCTAATCAGTAACCCAGTCTCTTCCGAGATCAGCCTTATTTATTCCTCATTTGTTTTCTTTCCAGGTGCTAAGAAAGACCATGGCTTGACTCTGGTATGATTCCTCTCTCTCACAGGAAAAACTCCAGGCCTCTCTGGACAGGCTGAGAAAAGAGCATCAGGAAGCTGAGAAGTTGGGCAGTGACATCAGAGAAGAGAGAACTTCCTGGAAGGCAGGAGGAGACTCTTCCTGGGGAATTTCTGACTTAGGAATCTTGATGGGAACTTCCACGCCAATCACAAGGAAGCTCTTTTTCCTTCATTCCCTGACATTGAATGAGTCCAGAAGACATTTGATTAGTTCTCTTCCTTGTCCTGTCTCTGTTGGGGGTGAGGGCAGGAGAGTAGATGTTACAAGTAAATATATTACAATTACAAATTGTACACACAGATATTTGGAATTGAGTTCAAAAACAGTCTCAATGGTGAGGAAGGCTGAAGGATTCTGTCTTCCATTCCTGTTTTCCGGTGAGGCCCTGACACCTCCAGTGGAAGGAAGACAAGATTCAAGGTTCAAATGTGAGAGTGTGGGAAGGCATGAATGTCCAGGACAACTGTCTACCACCTAAACCTCACTCCAGTTTCACATTTGTTCCAGGGTTGCCCTAAATAAAAGAGTCTGAGGCCTTTTTGGTTTGTACTAAAAAGGAAAAAACAGCTTTCCCCAAAATTGCTACCCTGTTTCTAATCCTTTCCTGGTTAGACTTACCTAAAAAAATTTTTTTTTCTGTCTCCTAATCCCTTTCATAGTAGGCTCTCAGGCTGAGAGACTCATTACTTTTCCCCAAAATTGCTACCCTGTTTCTACTCCTTTCCTGGTTAGAGTTACCTAAAAAAAATTTTTTTCTGTCTCCTAATCCCTTTCATAGCAGGCTCTCAGGCTGAGAGACTCATTAGTTCTCTCTCTTGTTTCCCCCTGCAGAATCAGATACAGGCTGAGAAACAAAGGATACACACAGAATTTAATCAGCTTAGAAGCATCCTGGACAGTGAAGAGCAAAGAGAACTGCAGAAATTGGAGGAAGAGGAGACGAAGACCCTGCAGGACTTAGCTGAGGCTGAGAATGAACTGGTTCAGCAAAGCCAGTTGCTAAAAGAGCTCATCTCAGATCTGGAGCATCGCAGTGAATGGTCAGCCATGGAGCTGCTGCAGGTAAAAAAGGGTGACACAATCTGAGATTCTTAAAACACAGTCTAAATTGCCTTCTCATCTGTGCCCGTGGGCTCTCATCCTGGTGTTGATACTAAAAGGTTCCTTTGACCTTGTAGAGCACCTGAGAATAAAGTCAACAGATAGGGAAGAAAAGAGAATCATGAAACACAAAAAGGCCAGGATTTGATCTGTCAGATGCATCTGTGAATAAAGTAACATCTCTCTGGACACATTTTT